AAAAAAAAAAAAAAAAAAAAAAAAAAAAAAAAAAAAAAAAAGCCAAACAAAAACAAAACAACCAAAAAACAAAACAAAACAAAACACAACCTGAAGATGTGGAATGGTAGTTAGTCTTGATAAGTTTAAGTGAGGTCAGTAAGTCAGGAATCTACAGAGACATAGAAATACTTCTTTTCATTGGCACAATATTCTTGTCCCTTCCGGGCAGAGGTGACACACACCTTAAATCCCAGCACTCGGGAGACAGAGTCAGATGGATCTCTGAGTTTGAGACCAGCCTGGTCTACAGAGTGAGTTCCAGTACAGCCAGGGCTGTTAAGCGCAGAAACCCTGTCTTGAAAAACAAAAAAGATAAAATCTGAACTCTCTCTTTACCCTCTGCACCAGCTTTGCTGAGGTGGAACTGTAAAACCTACCGCACGTAAGCATTTATGGGATTTTCGCCTTTGGCTTTTAAAGGGGTCTTGTTACATACTCCAGGTTGGCCTCAAACTAAAGATCCTCCTCCCTCAGCTTCCTGAGTGCTAAAATTAAAGGCACGCACCATCATTTAGCCTATGTACCAACACATTTGTAAAACCACCACCCTGATCAAGACAGAAGCCACTTAGGCAAATTCTCCTACTTTTGATTCAGACCCCTGTCCCCGAACAAAGCAAAGAAATACAATAAGATAAAAAACCAAAACAAAACCCCACGAAGACCTACACTTCTCTTCTCTGAAGTAGCTTCTGTCTGACTACTGCACCATGCTCACTTAGCCTGTCCCTGAACGTCACACAATATAATCATATGCTCTTTTGTGGCTGGCTTCTTTTGTTGAACATAATGTCTGTGAGATCACTTTATTCTTAAGTCAAAGAATCCCAACCCAGAATTCTGCTGATGTGGTTAAAGTCTCAAGGGCCACTCACTTCATGGTTGATGATTCCAGACATGCACTGATTCAGCCCCAGTTTGTTGAACTCATTGAGTCCACACGCCAGCACTTTGCCTGACTGGGTGAGCAGAAAGGTCCCATCACAGCCACATTGTACTGCAACAATGATTAAAGCCTTTGGAACATCTACCTGCAAGGAAAAGAGTTGGGGAAAATCCCAAGTACATAATTCATAGTAGAAAAGAACCCTCAAGCTCCATCACCATGCTGCCCAACAGCTTGCAGGTCACTCTTGCTTACGGCACTCCAGTTTTACAGCATGGGAGGGAAAGGCTGCAGTCAGAAGGAACAGATGTTCCCTGTCAGTCTATAGAGGGGAGACTGCAGATAAGCATGGGAGAAGGGGAGCTTCAATCTCTATCTGGCTTTGTCTTCAGACATGGAGGCTCCTCGATAGTTATGGAAGAAACATGGCACCCTGAACATCTCGGTCTTTTAGACAGTGTACAGAGGTAGCAGCTAGGACTTCTGCATCCTTCTACAATTTGTCAGTCAGGGTTAGAGAACAAAGGGTATCAGATGGGACCATGGATATGTGTGACACCTTGGCCCTCAGATTCTTTTCACAGAGGAACGGCTATCTCTATATGCATCACTTAATCCTTAGGATACACATACAAACTGGCAACTGTGGATGGCAGAGCACTGTAGATAGCGGTAGTTAACCTTTTAACCTTCCAGCGTCAGGTAAGCCTGGGCCCTGAGGCATGTAAGAGAGGTGTGCCTTTAGCTGACTCAGGTTCTGGCAGCCTCTTCCAGTGCCAGCTCTGGCAGTTCAGACAGTAATCAGATATGATGTCTCCTACTGCACAGCCTCTAAGCAAAGACCATTCCACCTGGTGTTCAACCATGGAAATGGAAAGCTGGGGTAACAGATACATGTCACTTCCTTAAGGAGATTTAGCTGTCTGTGACACTTTCTGTTTTATGTGCTGATTTTAATTTCATATCTGGGTAAGATATGACTCCAGTGTCAATAACAGCTGTATCCACTTTTTCAATTTGCTGTGATTTAGTCAGATGACAAGACCACATAGGGCTAAATCAGGAACCCTAGATCATCCGTCTCCTAGACAGGAAAGACTTCAAAAATAACACTCTGTTATGAGAGTCGGGAGAGAGGATGTCCTTTTGGTTAGAGACTGTGTTTTAGACAGGCTAGTGAAGAAGCTGTATCTCAGCTTACCCTCTGTGGTGTATAATAATCCTCTTCTGAATCCAAACCCAGTCGTCCTGAAACATACAAAAGAATGACAGTCATTATTTCGAGGGCGTTCTTCTCCAGAAAGATGCTCTAAAACTCTTTCTGAATTAACCTGCCTTGAAGAAAGGAGCTCAAAGACTGAAATCATGAGGAGCACCTGAAAGAAGTGGAAGGAAGCAGGCTTCACCTACCGTATTCACCACAGCCCCACGAGTAGACTTCTTTGTTTCGGGTCAGAACCACCACATGGTTGTCCCCGCAGGAGACCTGCTCCACTGGATTGCTGAGGAAAAAGTCCAGCTGCTTGGGTTCTAGCACTTCCGGGCCAGAAACCTTGTCCACCCCCATGCAGCCATAGTAGTCTGATCCAAAGGCATAGAGCTGACCCTCATCTGCAAAAGGAAAGAAAACCCATCACAGAAAGGACTTGGTGTCCCGTCAGAAAGCTGGGCAGAGCTGGAATGAGGACTACCTTAGCCAATGGTGTCACACAAGACATGATCATATCAGAAGTGAGAAAGCTAGCCCACACAAACAAGCAGAGCTGTTGTAGATAGGGAACCATGTATTGTATTATTATTGTAAGGGAGATTCTAGGATTATCATGTTAAATGATCTTCAAATTTTCCCGGAGCCTTCCCTGTTTTGTAGACAGAAAGAAACACCAAAGATGGGACTAGTTTGCTCACAAGTTAATATGTACTATTCTTCCAAAGAGCCCTTAGTTTGATATCTAGCAACCATGCCAGGGCAACTCACAATTATAAGCCCAGTTTAAGTAAGATCTGTGGCCCTCCTTCAGCCTTCACAATAAGTATTACACTCATGTGCACAAATCCACATTCAGATATACACATATACATAAGATTAAAAAGTAGCCAGGAGGTGGTGGTGCCCATCTTTAATCCCAGCAATTGGGAGGTAGAGGAAGACAGATCTCTGTGAGTTCGAGGACAGCCTGGTCTACAGCATGAGTTCCAGGACAGCCAGGGCTGTGACACAGAGAAACCCTGTTTTGAATAACCAAAACCAAAGTCAGGCGGTGGTGGCACACGCCTTAATCCCAGCATTCGGGACACAGAGGCAGGCAGATCTCTGTAAGTTCGAGACCAGCCTGGTCTGCAAAGTAAGTTACAGGACAGCCAAGTTTTTACACAAGAGAAACCCTGCCTCCAGAAAAAGAAAAAATAGCGAGGACTTACAAAGTATGATAGATCAAAACTAAATATAACTTTTATCCTGATTTTGTATTGTGCAAAGCCTAAATAGGACACACAGTAGCTTTCTCCTATCTCACAGCTTCTCCATTATCTACCTTTCTTCTCCTTGCTCATCACTACACATCATAGCAACCTGGAAAGTTTCTTTTGTTTGTCTTAGTGTTGGGAATTGAACTTATGGCCTTGCCTCTGCTATACAAGTGCTCTGAGCTATTCTCCCCAGGCTTGGGAATGCTGTTATTAATAAATATATTTGCTTAACGTTTTGGGGGATTTTTTTGGTAGTCTTTTGCCATAAAATCTCAACTAAAATTGCACAGCATTAGCACAATGTCCCATATTAAATGTCCTCAAGATGGTTTTTTTTTTTTTTGTAAGTGGCTTACCTGTCACACAAACAGTGAAATCATCACCACATGACACTTGGTGGATAGCTTTTCCTTGCAACTTTTCCACATGCTTTGGCTGTCGATAGGAAGCTTTGTCTCCATGTCCTAGCTGACCGTGTAGTTTAGTGCCCCCTTGCATGTTCTGTTAAAAAAGAGATCTTGTGCAGTTTTAACTATTTACAATAAAAGTTAATCTTTAATATAACTTCTGAAGAAAATCAAGTGGGGAAGGGGAATAGTTTTCACTAGATAGCACTGGCTGTCCTCACACTAACTCTCTGTAGACCAGGCAGGGCAAGCTGCCTACCTCTGCCTCTTGAGTGCTGGGATTAAAGGTGTTCACTGCTATGCCTTGGTAAGATAAAGCATTTCAAAAGTTAATATAAACCCCTACCTACAGGTAAAGAAGACTTTAAAACACATCCATATTCGTATCCATCAGGCATCGGGACAAATTTCAAATTTTGTCATTATTTTAGTATAAGGTAAACTACATGTTTAACTATGGGTGATGCTGAAAAGTTCATTATAGAGTTTAATTTGATTGTTTTCTGACTAATTTGCTGCTGTGATAAATACCATGACTTAAAGCAACTTGGAGAGGAAAGGGCTTACAGCTTATAGTCTATCATCAAGGAAAGCGAGGGCAGGAGCTCAAGTCAGGAACTAAAAGCAGAAGAATATGCCCCACAATATTCCAATCTGATGGAGGCAATTTGTCAACTGCGGTTGCCTTTTTCCAGGTGACTAGTTTTTGTCGAGTTGACAAAAACTAACTAGAACACTTTTTAAATGAGTACAACCTCTTGAAAACCACCTGGACTAGAAGTTTTATAAACTTTGGTTGGCTTCCTTAAAACAGAACAGTTAAAAAAGACTATAGCTATATTAAAAGAAAACAAAAATAAGGAAAAAGAATTTGGTCCTATCAAGGACACAGTGATGAGAACAGTTCTCATGGTTTTGCAACAGTTTCATAGAGACAGCAATCTCTCCATGCACCGACTCAGGTACAAACCCTTTAATAGATAGTTGTAAGGTATTACTTTCATTCCATTTCAGGCAGCTGCCTCAAGCTAATTCTTTAAGGGACAAGGTCATCCCTTGACAAGGCAAAATCACTTATTCTTTTAACATTTTACAATTACTCATAGTCTACTCTCACACAACACACCTATGAAGAAAGTTGAAGCCACAGAAAAACAGAAGAGCTCCCTCAGAGAGGAAGCAGGATCAGGGCAGGGCTGGGGAGTAGCAAGTAGCCTGAAATGCACCTGCAGAAGGCACAGCAATGAACTAGAAAGCCAAGAGCGGGGCTGGAGAGATGGCTCAGAGGTTAAGAGCACTGATTGTTCTTCCAGAGGTCCTGAGTTCAATTCCCAGCAACCACATGGTGGCTCACAACCATCTGCAATGAAATCTGATGCCCTCTTCTGGCCTGCAGGCACACATGCAGAAAGAACACTGTAAACAAAATAAATAAATAAATCTT